CGGGCCCCGCGGCGGGGGGGAGGGCGGCCGCCATGTTGGCCGGCGCCGCGGCCCGGCGGGCGGCCTCGGCAGGCGCCATCTTGAGGCCGAGCGCCGCTGCCCCTGAGCCGCGAAAGGGCGGCCCGCAACAGCGCGCTCGACGAACGTTTTTTTCCGTAGCCGCTGCAAAATATTTTGCTGTATTAAATTTTCCATTGTTTATGGGTGCTGTATGGCCAAAAGATGCTCAGAGATCAACCCGAGTGGCAAACAATCCTCTGAACAAGTAACACAACCTGTAATGGCAGAGAAAACATTTCAGAGCTGACACTGTTAAAAGGCTTGAATACAAAGCAGATAGTTAACAAAATAAAAATAAAAATAAAAGACTTGATATGTGCTATTGAACTGCCATAAGGCAGGTTTAAATCCAAAGTCCTGTTCATTCACCTCGCTTTGCAAGATTTCCATGTGCAAGGTTTAAAATTTAAGCAGTGGCTCACACAGGAAATACTTCAGAACTGAAAGCAGTTTCTTCCTCTTTCAGAAGCTGCATCTTTGTTTCCCATTAATTACAACTCATTCTTTACAGCTGCTGGCTACTATTAATTTTCAAAAAAAAAATCATAAATATTTATACCTACTTAGGTAAATACAGTTCTCATTTTGCAGTTTGGAGGAAAACCAAAGAAGCTGAAAGGCCAAAGAATCTTCCAGGTTTCATGATTCTATGCAATTATCTAAAATTGAAATTAGTATCTACTTGAAAAAGAAATGTGAAATCCAGAGTCACTTGTACTACTCTAACAAGTCATTTTAGTTACAAGGAAAATCAGAAAGATCTCCTTAGTCAAGATGTTCATCTCTTTTTTGTTCAGCCTAAGAAATAAAACATTTTACATTTACTCTTCTTTCACAAATTGTACACTTTAGTCTTTAGTATCCCTAACTAAGGAAGAAACTGCATCACAAGAATCCAGTAAAAAATGTTACTTCACTATCTCTGCTCTTTTTGGATTTACCTGCCTCTCTGTACTATATATTTACTCCTTAATTGTGAAACTGATATGGGAAAGAACTCTATCCCAGAGCTCTAGAATAACTGAGTAGAATATATCTGCTCCAGCCATGTAGGAGTACTGTCTTTTAAAACTGTCACCGCTCATCAGGATTCTGGATCTGTACTGCCCGCCTGCTCTATCCAATGTGGGTTTCTCTCTCCCCGGCACATGCTGTTACTCTCATGGAAAACAACAAACATCATATTGAAAAAAGCCGCTGAAAGTATCTTTTGTTTTAAAATCAAACTGATGATTATTACCACAGTACATGATTTTAAAAGTCAAGGTTATTAAATTTATGTTAAATAATGTAGATTACAGGTGGTAAACGCAGACATTTATAGGAAGGAGGCAAAAAACCACCTGTGAACATATCTGTTTTCCACAGTATTTTGGAACATACTGTGAAAATACTGAAGGGGGAAATGAGAGGGCTATATAAATGCAGGAAGATCCATATTTGTTGACTTCTTAAATCATTCTAGAGGAGGGAACACAGGAGCTGCAGCTCTGAGATCTGCAGGCCTGCTGATACAACTTTCTGAAGTGGTGACACTTCATCTTACAAAAGATAAATTGGCTATCATTGCAATCTATATGGATATTCCGTATTATGTTATGTAATTGGGTCTTCTATTGAAATTATTTGCATAGAACCAAACCAAAATGACTAAATCACACATCACTTTCTATGGATACCAATGTGCAAACTTCACTGAAGTGAAACAGCACATCTCCTTCCCCCAAAGAGCTAATGATTACCATGTGAGCCTGCCATCCAGCCAAAAACTTGCTGGTTGTACTACTACAAAAATATTTTTGTACATTGTATAACGCATATGCTGCTTCCTTAAATACACATGCAATTAAAAACGACATGTCCTTTGTTGTAGCCCCCCGCCGTTACCACAGGGAGCCCAGAGCTCACTGCAGTCCTTGCTGGTTCAGATTATTTCTTCTTTTTGTGAGCTCCGGGACTATCTCTGCACGTTTCCCTCCTGCCCAAATGGCCCAGGACAACTACCCTCTGCTCCCGCAGCCCTGTTTCTCACTCAACAGCCACCTGCTCCTCTGTGGCAGCCACCAGCTTTGGGTCTGTGGACTCTTCCCACAGTGGTAGCTCACGTTAACTGTGACTACTTACACAATTAAAAAAAAAAAAAAAAAAAAAAGAAATGAGGACCTATTGAGGGGTTATTGTAAGGCACGGTGGTCCTTCCCTTCAGGGCTTCTATTACTGACTGCTGCGCGCACGGAGCGCACCCTGCAAGCCCTCAGAAAGACAACGTGACCTACTTTGCCAGGCCTCGAGGCCCGGGAATAGGGCTGAACAGCAGCCTACAGGTCTCGCTCCAAGGGAAGAGGGAGCTTCGCCCTGGTTTTCACCGCTCAGGGACCAGCTAGGGGCCACCTCCTCTCGGGCTCCCCTTACAGTGCGTGCAGAGAGCTCCCGAGGCGGCGAATGGAAACAAAGCGAAGCCCAAATAAACAAAAAGGAGAAAAACCGACCGGGGGCAGCGGGAAGCCCCAAACCGCCGCCTCCCCCGAGCCCGCCCCTCAGGCAACGGGCGCTCCCGCGCATGCGCCGCCGCCCGTTATCGGCGCGGGCGCGCATAAAGCGGCCGCCGGGGCCGCTCTCCCGCCCCCTCTCCCCCCGCCCGTTTCTCGCGCAGCGGCCGCGCGCCGGGGCGGGCGCCATGGCGGGGCCGGGCGGGCGGGCGCACTACAGCTCCCGGCGTGCCCGGGCCGCCCCGCCCCGCTCGCCGTGCCCGCGGAGGGAGGAGCGGAGCGGCGCGGCGGGGGGATAACGCTCAAGTTGCCCGCGATCAGCTGATCCCGGCGGGCAGCCGGGGCCGCGG